GATACAAGCACTAGGCAACTAAATTACAAGCGACAGAATTATACAGAGCTAAGACTAGAGTGAGAAGGAAAGGAGATAGGATTATCTTAGTCAAGCTTGTCGTTTGTGATATGGTCTTGAACGTAATTAGTGCGTATGCCCCGAAGTAGACCTCGACGAGAGTGCTAAAAGACAGTTCTGGGAAGATTTAAATGCCCTGATTAGAGCTGTACCTAGTAGTGAGAAGCTTTTTTATAGGAGGAGATCTTAATGGGCATATAGGTACTACAAGCGCAGGTATCGAGGCAGTTCATGGAGGTTTTGGCTATGGTAGTAGGAATCAGGAGGGGGAGGAAGTTCTGGACTTCGCGATAGCTTTTGACCTGATGATAGCCAACACTTTATTTAGAAAGAGAGAATCTCATCTAGTGACCTTCAGTAGCGAACAACATTCTAACCAGATTGACTTTGTCCTCGCAAGAAGAAAGGACAAACGAGCATGTTTGGGTTGCAAGGTGATACCAGAGGAGTGTGTTGTTTCTCAACATAAGCTTTTGGTGGCAGACTTTCGTTTTCAGGTACGTGCTCGTAGGGATAAATAAGTTAAGGTTGAAAGAACAAAGTGGTGGAAACTGAAACGGGAGACGTCAAAGATATTAAGGGAAAGGGTTATCAAAGAGGGCTCTTGGAAGAAATAAGAGGACATAAACAACATATGGGAGAAGATGGCAACCAACATTCGGAAGGTGGCCTCAGAGGTGTGTGGAGTAACCAAAGAAAGTGGAGGCGAGGCTAAAGATACTTGGTGGTGGAACGAGGAAGTCCAAAGAGCTATTAAGGAGAAGAAAGAATGCTATAGACGTTTGTACCATGACAGGAGCGTGGACAACATAGAGAAGTACAAGGTGGTAAAGAAGACTGCAAAGCGAGCTGTAAGTGTAGCAAAGGGTAAAGCGTACGACGATCTTTACCAATATTTGAGTACGAAGGAATGAGAGAAGAACATTTATAGGTTGGCTAGGGTTCGTGAGAGAAAGACAAAGGACTTCAACTAAGTTAAGTGCATTAAAGATGAAAGTGAGCATCTCTTGGTAGAGGAGGATGAGATCCAACATCGATGCCAAGAATATTTTAACAAATTGTTCAATGGTGAAAATACGGACACAACCTTTCAGTTGGATGATCCTTTTGATGACACCAATAGGCGCTTTGTGCGGAGAATCCAAGAATCTGAGGTCAGAGAGACGTTAAAAAGGATGAAAGGAGGTAAGACGATGGGACCGGATGGTATCCCAATCGAGGTGTGGAGATGCCTCGGGGACATAGCTATAGTATAGCGAACCAAGCTGTTCAACCATATTTTTCGATCGAACAAAATACCTCACGAGTGGAGGAGAAATATATTGGTACCGATCTACAAGAATAAAGGGGATATTCAAAGTTGTACTAATTACTGGGAAATTAAGTTGATGAGCCATACTATGAAGCTATGGGAGAGAGTTATCGAGCATCGCTTAAGAGCAATAACGCGGGTCTCTATGAACCAATTTGGTTTCATACCCGGAATGTCATAAATGGAAACTATTTTTTTAATAAGACAAGTTATGGAGCGGTATAGGGAGAAGAAGGACCTACACATGGTTTTTATTGACTTGGAGAAGGCTTATGATAAAATATCAAGAAATGTTATGTGGTGGGCTTTGGACAAAAATAAAGTCCCAACGAAGTACGTCGGGCTCATTAAGGACATGTACAACAATGTTATGACTAGTGTTCGAACAAGTGATGGAGACACGGATGACTTCCCGATTAGGATAGGACTACATCAAGAGTCAGCTTTGAGCCCTTATTTGTTTGCCTTAGTGATGGATGAGGTCACAAGGGACATACAAGGAGACATCCCTTGGTGTATGTTTTTCGCGGACGATGTAGTGCTAGTTGATGAAAGCCGTACATGAGTGAACCAGAAACTGGAGTTATGACGGGAGACTTTGGAATCCAAAGGTTTTAAACTCAGTAGAACTAAAATTAAGTATATGAGATATGACTTCGGCACTACTACTCGGAAGGAGGAAGATATTAGTTTAGAAGGTTAAGTAGTACCTAGGAAAGATACCTTTCGATATTTATGATCAATGCTACAGAGAGACAGGGATATTAATGAAGATGATAACCATAGAATCAATGTAGGGTGGATGAAATGACGCCAAACATCTGGTGTCCTATGTGACAAAAGGGTACCACAGAAGTTAAAAGGCAAATTTTATAGGACGACAACTAGACCTGCTATGTTGTATGGTGCAGAATGTTGGCCTATGAAAAGACGACATGTTCAACAGATAAGTGTCGTGGAAATGCGTATGTTGCGTTGGATTTACGGTCATACAAGAAGGAATCGAGTTCGGAACAATGATATACGTGATAGATTAGGGGTAGCACCAATTGAAGAAAAGCTTGTCCAACACCGGTTGAGATGGTTTGGACATGTCCAACGGAGACCTCTAGAGGCACCGGTGCGTAGTGGAATCCTAAGGCAGGATAGTAACGTGAAGAGAGACAGAAGAAGACCGAAGTTGACTTGGGTAGAGACAATAAAAGGAGACTTGAAAGGATGGAATATACCCAAAGACTTAGCCTTAGATATGAGTGCTTAGAAAACAGCAATTCACGTGCCTGAACCTTGATTGCTTCTGCTGGGTTTCAACTCTAGCCTACCCTAACTTGTTTGGGACTTAAAGGCTTTGTTGTTGTTGTTGTTGTTGTTGTTGTTGTTGTAAGACTAGAGTGAGGGGTTTCATGACTACCATTTTGTGTCGGTGAACCAAGATCGGAGTGAGGTGTTTTATGAACTAAGACTTGCAATAATGTACATAGTCCAATTTGCTCTTTACGAATATATTTTGCTTAACAAAAGACATATGTCAGAAGGTGCACATTGTCATTGCAATAATTTCCAAATTTAACCCTTCTTTCTTAGTGGATGTGGTAAGACAGTGTGGCCAGCCATTTTCTCATATTTTTGTTTGTACGCTCCATTTTAGGCAGTATACACATCAGCAAGTTCCTGTACAAAAAGATGAATCACACATTTTTCTAGCATTGCAGTGCCAAACAATATCAAGTAATTTCTCATAACCAAGAGATGAATCGCACATCTAATAATTTCGAGTAAGCGGATGATGAACCACATATGTACTCTATGCCTGTAATCAGAGCTAAATATGAAAATCAAAATACTCTAGGAAAACAGAAACACAAAAGGATAGAATAAAAAAATAAGCTGATTCATAATGGAATAGTTAAATATCAGTCTACTAATCTATGGCTCATAGTTTGATCAATGCTAAGCTTTGTGGGAAACTGAGAAAATTAAGACACTTATCCAAAGCAGAAGTCCATGGCAACTTAGCCAAAGGAATAAAACTTAAGTCAAGAGAGATCTACATGCTTCCTATTATATGACTTCTAAAATACAAATACTAGGCAAGTAAATTATAAGCAACAGAATTCTCCAGAGCTAAGGCTGGACTGAGAGGTTTCAAGATTAACCATTTCTTGCCAGTGAACCAAGATTTGGAGTGAGGTGTTCCATGAAGACAGAATAGCAATAATGTACAGTCCTGTTTGCTATTTGCAGTTAAATTTTAGTGCCTGCTTCTTATACAAATAAAGTTTGTTTAACGATTGGCATATATTGCACAATGCACATTGGCATTGCAATAATCTCCAAACTTAACCCCTTCTCGTGGATGTGGTAAGACAGTGTGATAAACTATTTTTCTCATATTATCGTTTCTACTCTTGTTTTTAATCACTATTATACACATCTGTAGGTTTCTGGTCCCTATGAAGCAGTCTGGAAAGAGCTTGATCAAGTGGAGCAGCTGTGAAGAACAGAAATGATCTGAAAGTTGAGTATGCCGGTGTTGCAACACTCTTTGATATCAAGTTATATACCCCTGCTCACAACAATCTCGCTGGCGCAGAACCGCGCATACAGCTCAACACCGAAGAGTGCTGCAACACCAGCATGCTCAACTTTCAGATCATTTCTGTTCTTCCACAGCTGCTTCACTTGATCATGCTCTTTCCAGAATGCTTCAGGGAGGCTGCAAAGATCATGTGTCAGTTCAAAGATACAATTGAATAGTATTCAAAGGTGCACCTCATGATACATAAACAGATAGATATGAGACAATATAGTTACATATGTGCGATGGATCAGTCTCTTCTCCAAACTGTTTCATTTGCATGGCTGAAACTATTAAATTTTATAGGTTTAGAGCACAAATTATCTGTATCTAAGGCTTTATAAACCTCCAGGAATTTACAGTATGGGCAATTCTTTAATCACATATCATAGTTAAATGACAAAAACTACCGTCAAACTACTATTGTGGTCCATAGCTAATATCATATCCAATAAATGACTGAAAGGCAACACGGAGAAACAGAAACTGCTTTTGCTGTATAAATTGTAAGCAAAACTCAAATTATAATTAGAATCAGTAGAATAAAAAAGAAAGATAAAGACATGATGGATAGTCAGTCAATAAGTAAAAAGAGGATCGGCCAAAACAACTCTATGTTTGTGACAACAAGGCTTTATGATAAGCTGCTCATATATTTAACAACTCTCTTATTTCCCAAATCTAGTCAAGTGAACACTCAAACTCAAGTCCCAGATTCTCAGTTATGGGATATGTAATCCTTATAGGCTTCAACCACATCACTAAATAGACTGGAATTCATCGCTTACATCTTCAGAGAGAACAAAGGAAAAACTTACTTTTACAAAGTTCAGTATCCTATACTGTCACATTTCCTAACATGTTGGTGTAAAGTAATTTCTCATAACTGAAAGATGGATCACAATTCACACATCTAATAACTTCCATTAGGCAGATGATAAACCACATATGTACTCTATGCCAGTTATCAGAGCTAAATATAAAAACCAGAATACTAAAGAAAAACAGTAAGATGCACAATCACAAATAACTTACTTGTTCATGATCTGATCACAGCAATGAGGCGTCCAGGTCCGGGAATAGGGCGAGCACTATGTCCTTCTTTGCATCCTGGACCACATTCGCCGCCGCCTCCTCCGCAGCGTGCTCCATGCGGGCAATGTCGACCGCGTGCTCCTCCATGAGCCAGGTGACGGCAGCATCATGCGTCTGGTTGAGCTTGGCAACCTCAGCAGCGTGCTTCTCCTTCACACGAGCGAGGTCAGCCGCGTGCTCCTCGTTCAGCCGAGCGATGCTGGCCGCGTGCTCGTCGTTGAGGTGCTTTGTGAGCTGTAGGACTGCAGAGGCATGCTCCTCCTGGAGCTTAGCAACGTCGGCCGCGCGCTCTGCCTTCACACGGGCGACGACGGCCGCCTGCTCCTCGATGAGCCGGGCATGCTTCTTCTTGAGAAGATCATTCTCGTTACTTTTCATATACAGGTACTCCACGAACTTGTCATCCAGGGCCTCGGACTCTCGTGACTTGGCCTCGGACTCTTGTAACTTGACCTGAAGCTGCGCGATCTGGTTGTCCCGCTGCTCGCCTTGCATTCGCACCATGTCATACTCATAGTCGGAGTTGCCTGTCCAAATCCCCGGCGGCAGGGAGATCTCGCTGCTACCTGAGGCTCCATCGAAGGATGTACCTGGTGTAATTTCCATTCCCTGCAGCGACGGCGGCGCTGCCGAAATGGTAGAGTTTTGAGGCGTCACGGCTGCCGGACTCAGACCAGGACACCTGCGCTTCCGAGGCGTCGAGTCGTCACCCCTCGCCGGCGGCGTCGGCGGCGCTGGCCGCTCTGGCTTCCGCTTCCAACGCCGCGTGCAGCTGGGGCTGCGAGGTGAGAGCCAGAGCTCGGGCGCTGGCCGCTGCGCATTCCGGTTTCGCCGTTGGCGTGGAGTGCAGCTGCAGCATGGTGAGAGCGCCGCCGGGCGGGGCGTGGAGGCTCAAGTAGTCCTTCAAATCGATCCATGGCATCTGCTTCAGCTTGTCTATCGCCGCATCCGCGAGCTCCACTGTGCGGGCGTCCTCCATCCTGGGCTTGCCCCACGCCACCGGGCACTTCCACGGCATCCCCTCCGGGGGCTGAAAGAAGAGGAACCTCGATTTCCAGCCGTGCTTGGTGGGCAGACTGCCGTAGAAGAGGCGGGGATGACCGGCGCACTGGCGGAAATGGTGCCACCCCGATGGCTTGTCTTGTGCTTGTGCGCGCACAGAGAGAAGAAGTACGTGAAGGCCGAAACCTGCTGTTCCTCCACGCCGGCATCCTTGCAGCGCTGCAAGAACGCCGCCATGTACGCCCACGCGTTAGGGGTCAACTGGCTTGGCGCCAGGTCGTAGTGTCGGAGGAGCTTCCCGTAGAACACGGGCATGGGGAAGCGCAGACCGGCCTCGAGGGCGTCGGCGTAGATGCACAGGGCATTCGAGCCCTGGCCCTCCGTCGGCCTGTTGCACGCCGCGATTTTGCCGGCGCACACCGGCTCCAACTCCCTGGGCACCCCGTACTTGTCGCACAGGGCGACCAGCGATTCCTTGTTGGTCAGCGTGGACTCGATCGCCGCCGCCTCCGGCCAAGACAAGTCGCCGCCGCCGCCGTCTTTGCTGAAGAACAGCTGTGAGGTTGCATCTCCGAGCGTCGCTGCCACGGCGAGGTCCACGATCTCGCAGGAGGAAGACGGCGAGGAGGGAGCCGCCATTGTAGGCGAGGAAATCTTGCTGCGGGCTGTTGGTGTTGGGTGCGGGAGGGTGACGGCGAGGGCAGTAGAGGATGTGTTGGGTGCGGGAGGGCGACGGCGGGACGGTAGAGGACGCTTGTACTGGGCGGTAGCCTAGCCGGTAGGGGAAGAGAGCGCAGAGAGCCTAAACGGTCTCCAAAGGCGTAGGCAAAGCACGACCCGAACGCAAAATGGGTTATATACAGTGTATTGCGTCTTAGAATCACGCTCCAACGAGGCGACGACGCAAAAGCACAGCAGAGAGGGGAGCTGAGGGGGACTTCGGCGTGAGCTCCGTCCACCCCGCCGCCGCACCGGCGCCTCCAGGAGCGGCGCAAGTGGGAGTCCTCCTCCTCGGGCTCCGGGGGCAGCTCCTCCTCCACCGACGAGCCTAAGCCGCGCCGCATCCGCACGGAGGCCCACTGCCTGCGCTGCTCCAAGCACATGGACATCCTCTTCTCCCACTAGGGCCCCCCTCCGACGACCGCGGGCGCCACCGCCGGCGGCGGCTACTAGGCGCTGAACCTCTGCCCCAACTGCCGCAGTGCCTACTTCTTCCACCCGCACGTCCTTGCCCTCTCCCTCGTCCTCTTCCTCTCCGCCACGCCGCCCGCCGCTCCGCCGCTCCTCCTTCCTCCGCTTCAAGTCCCGCGCCGTCGCCGCCACCGGCACCGGCACCGGTGCAGCCGCGGCGCCCCCCGTCTGGATCTACGTTGAGGTAGTCGCGGGGGTTGTACTTGTGCGGGTAGCTCCCCGGGAGGTAGAACCCGCGGGCGCCTGGCAGCGCCGCCGCGAGCAGGAGGGTCTGGGGTGGGCGGGCGGGTCGGTTATGGCGCTCGGTCCTGCTCCGGCGAGGAGGGGGTGTCGGTGGCAGCGGAGCAGATCTAGCGGGGGCGGTGGTGTGGTTGCTCAGGCTCTGTTGGAAAAGACAGAGATTTGGGTCCGTGATTTTTCACTGTAGATAACCTATATTAGTGAATGGGTATGGTTTTTGGGTGGTTTTTGTTAGAGACAGTCTTATAACCGGGTAGCTAGCCGCCATGGATCCTGTGGGCCTGCTCGGTCTCCACTCTCTCCTCTTTCTCTCTCTCGCACTCTACAGGAAGATAAATTTCTGCAGGAGCAATCGAGTACAGTGGGACTGTAGGAGCAGAGGAGAGAAGAAACTCTTTCTGCAGCTGGCTTCCAAGCGAAAGAACCTGAGGGGTGCCGGGGAGGAGAGATTTTTTGTCATCTACTACTACAGCTTGGGCTTTCCAGGAATCAGTTGGGTTGGTTTTAATCTTTTACAATGGTTTAATTTTGATCTTTTGTTGAACATGCAGATGAAGCGGTAGTAAATAATGCAACCAAAAATGAAGTAGAAAGGTGATTTCTTGGTCACTACTAAAATTTTAACTTTAGTTAAACAGTTATCTTAAATTACTAAATGCTCAACAAAGAATCGCCGAGGGGATTTACCGACGGCTAGACAATTGTTACTGGACACCTTTATGGTGTGACCGGTTGCGCTCCCACAAGCGTGCGACCACGGCCATTGCTGCCTCCCACCACCATCGGTAACCACAGGTAACACACTGCCTTGTACCGCTCGCTATGCGATCTCGCCTGACGCCCTGTCCTACGCTAATCCATCGTCTTCGTCAACCAGTCGCCATCAGCCTTCCTCATCCCTGCTATACAAAGTCGAAGAAAATAAACTTTATATCAAAGTTATAGAGCTTAATTTGATCTACTTTGTCAAGTTTTTATTTCAAATTATTCAAGTGACATTTTTTAAATTCTCAAATTTTGTAATTCAAATTTTCTAGTTTTTTAACGACATCGAGTATTGACATGGTCGTTCGAAAATTCTAAATTTTGAGTTCCCGCATCCGATAATTCAAAAGGAACTTTTAGCACAAATAATTTTAATTCACTGATTAAAAATATAAGCTAGTAGTACATCCACCAAACAAACAAATACTGTACAGGATTAAAAGAGCAGATCAGCGCTACTAAAGATGCCATTTGACACAACTCCACTGGTGGTCCTCGTTCGTGGTCATCGGTAGGGACCAACAGGTGACCGGATCAGAGAGACTTGGGTCAGGAGCCAATGTCTTGTCATATCAACATTACACCAGCCTCCTCTTGCACTGGTAACTTTTTGAGTTGAAAACTAAGGCCTGGTTTAATTTTCAAAAATTTTCACCCTAAACTATAACATCGAATCTTACGGCATATACATGGAGTATTAAATAAAGATGAAAAAAAATTAATTGCACAGTTTGGTTGGAAATCGGAGATGAATGTTTTAAGACTAATTAGTCCATGATTAGCCATAAGTGCTACAGTACTAACATGCGCTAATGATAGATTAATTAGGCTTAATAAATTCGTCTCGTAGTTTCCAGACGAGCTATGGAATTAGTTTTTTTATTAGTATCCGAAAACCCCTTCCGACATTATAAATAATCTAATGTAACATTCAAAAATTTCATTTCACAAACTAAACACACCCTAAACAAAACCGGTTGACCTGCCAAAAGGTTTGCTAGCTAGACTAGACTAGCCTAGTCATGCCATGCCGATGCCATTACGCCAACGCCGCCGTCCCGAAGTCCGAGTAGCCTCTCGTTCCTGTTCATCTTCTCCACAAATCCACTGCGCTCCAGCTTTATTGCCGGCGCAGCGCCAATGGCAGCAGCCTCCTCCGTTGTGGGTGCAATGCAAGTATCCAATGGATCCTCGAGCTAGATTGCACAGTGACTGGAGTGCCGATGGAATCTAGGATCTGATTCTAATAATTATAATTTAGTCATAGATTACTTAAGCTAATATAGTTATATATAGAATATATTTGTATATTTATTGTTATGCATGTAAGGGACATACTTACATGTTGCATTTCTATTGTAGAGAAGTGAGTTGAAGAGTGTGCTATAAGTTAAAGAATAGAATTATAGCATAGTGATCTATAGAATCTATTTGCATCTTCCAACATATGAATTTGAGATAGGCTTATTTTGTGAACTTGGGAATGTTATGGAATGTAAAATTTCAAAGCCAAATAATATAATCCATTATGTATATTTTAATTTCTCCAAATAAAAGGATCCAAACGACCCTTAAGATATTTTAGAAAACTGGATTTTACGTAGTGATCATAGAATCTAGATTTTAGATAATAAAAATCTATAATGTTTGGATCACTAGATTCTAGTGAGGGATTAGTAGGTGGTATAATGTGTACATTGTCCATGATACCCTTGGATGGTAAGGAATGGACCATGCATGCAGCAAATGATAAGATAGGGGTAGAAATGTCTTTTCTTGCATGCGTATTAGAAATAATCTGGTGTTATCCTTTGGCTAGCGGATTCAGGGATTCAAAGAATTCAGGCATGAGATTTTTGTTATCCTTAGTTTGGCTACCTTGAAGATTTTTTCGACATGTTCGCTGGTTGGTTTCTGGGCTGGTTTAGGCTGGCGGGTGCTGGTTTATTGTGAGAGAAAAACACTGTTGGTTGGCTGGTTTAGACTGGCTGAAATCAACAAGCGAACATACTGTTTATCTGGTTCTCAAAATCTAGGCAGAATTTAGTGGGGATAGACTGACAGTGACCTGGGTGAAGACATGATAGGGAGAAGTACTGCAGGGAGTATCTTGAAGACAGTCTGGTCACATGGTGTTCACAAAAAAACAGTAGCATTGGCATCCTGTGAACTGAATTCATGGTAGCCACAGTTGTAGCTATGCATGCACTATGGTTGAGGAGTCTGCTAGCAGAGATCACTGCAATGGAGCCGAAGATTGTAACATTGTTTGTGGATAATAACTCTGCTATTGCTATGATGAAGAACCCCTTGCATTCCATGGTAGAAGCAAACACATTGACATTAAATACCACTTCATCGGAGAGTGTGTGGAGCATGAACAGATTGCATAGAAGAGAGTGTGTACCAAAGAACATAAGGCAAATGCTATGACTAAGGCATTGCCAGTAGGCAAGCTTGCTGTCATGAGACGCTTTGCTAGGAGTCCAGGACTTTGGTGGACTTCAGGATTGGGTGTGGGGTGGGGGGGGTGGGGGAGATTGTTGGTGTAACCCTGAAGTTAGAGGCAATTGGGAGCTCAGTCAGAGGCAGAAGTCAAGCACACGGCGGGAACGGCAGTTGCCAGTGGTGACCGCGCCCACGACGTGTTTGTGTGGTGTCAGTTGCCGTGTAGCAACGCGCGCGCGCGCCAGTTTTAACTAGTGAGGAGAGTAGCTACTGGGTTAAGTAGTGGGAGTGTCAAGGCTTGTGTTAGTGCTTGGATCAGTTGCCGTAATTGTGAACACTTGGATCAGAGGGAAATAGCTCTAGACAGTTTCACAGAGTGTTCATCATGTTCTTGTGTTCTTTGTTGTGAGCTTTGGGCTGTGTCTAGAGCCAGGGGCTAAAGTTTAGTCGTGTCACATCGGATGTTCGGATGCTAATTAGAAAGACTAAACATGAGCTAATTATAAAACTAATTGCACAGAAGTAGACTAATTAGCGAGACGAATCTATTAAGCCTAATTAATCCATAATTAGCAAATGTTTAGTACCACATTGTCGAATCATGGACTAATTAGGCTTAATAGATTCGTCTCATAAATTAGCCTCAATCTGTGTAACTAGTTTTGTAATTAGCCTATGTTTAGTACTCCTAATTGGTATCAAAGATTCAATAGGATAGGGCTAAACTTTTGCCCAGAGAAAACAAACCCAGCCTGATGGATTGCATAGGTTAGCCATTATGCGTGTGTTTGGTTCCCGTTCAATTCCTAGCCCGGCTAGCTTTTTGAGCCAGGCTAGACTTAGCCAGGTTGATATAGGTCAATAGGCACTTGTTTGGTTGAAGCGATTGCTTAAGCCTAGCTAAGTTTGGGTGTGTTTGGTTAGCTGGTTTTGCTGGAATAGAATCACCTCCTCTTTCAGATGGTAAAGTTACCCCCGTGAGGCATTTCATCGAA